CGGAGGTCCTGGAGTCTCGGTGGTCCCGCCGTAGGGTCGTCGCAGCGCGAGGCCTCCGGGCTCGGGGTCTCAAGAACATAGATCAGGAGGCCCTCCAGTCGGCGCACTGGCTCTACACTGTTCTCAAAGGGCTTCCCGTCTGGGGGAAAAGCAGCTGGGCAGACGTTGGCGGGAGTGCAGGGCAGGAAACTGAGGCCGGGAAAGGCGAGCCGGCCTAAAGCCGCGGGCCCAGTTCCAGCAGCACTTGCTCTGGGGGTGGAGGCAAGCCCGGGGCCGCTGGGGAGCCTGGAGTCTTCAGAAGAGGGAGAAAAGGATCCCAGAGCGGAGCCCGTCACCCCGCACAAGCCCAGTGGTCCTGCTTGCCTGTCCTGCCCCCACAGAGTCGGAGATTAATGGCTGTCTGAGGGCCCAGGAGATGGCTGCAAGTGTAGGCAGGACCCTCTCTGGACCCTGGAGATTCCCAATTCTTCATTTGAGGGATGATCTGTAGGCATGAGGCTTCTCTTAGAGGAACCAGTAGGGAAGAGGGGTGTATACTTGAACCTTCACCCCTAGCCCACTCCCAGACGCTCAGCTCTGCTTCTGATTGCAAGACTTCCCTTTCCCCCAATGTCCCCCGCTCCCCCGCCCCATCACATTCCGCACAGGCCCATCTGCCTGTGGCAGAGCCTCCCTCAGGGGGCCACAGTCTTCTCACAGGAGACCAGTAGAAGACACAGATGGTGCCTGCTCTGCCCTTGCCTTCTGCCCACCTGCCTTCAGCACCCTCCACCCTGGCCCTCAGGTGCCTCTGAGTGCCCCGCCCCCCACACTCACCCCTGCCTCCCTGCCTGTCAAGTAGCAGTCAGGGGGTGTCCCTCCCCTAGCTAGCAGCATGAGCTCCGTGGGTACCAGGTAAGTGTTGCACCACAACCAGCCATGCAGAGCCAGGAGCGACAAAGACTGGTTCCTTTTTTCTTCCTCTAGCTCCTCCAGTCACAGGAAGGCCACACCACCAGTCTGAGTCCCCTGGGGGCCAGTGGAGAGGCTGGGCCCCACCCCAAGGGTCTCAGGTGCTTCCTCTGCTGCACCAATCCCCAGAATCCCTACCCCACACCCTCCCAGACCAACC